CCCCCCCCCCCCCGCGTGCAGTGGCACCAAGGATATGAACAGGCACTTGCGTCGCACTCAAGTACGCACGCACAATATGTGAACAGAAACAAGGATGTGAACAGGCACGTGTGTCCCACCCGAGCACAAGGATAGACACGACCCCCACCCATGCATTGGCACCAAGGATATGAACAGCCACTTGCGTCACACCCACGCACAATATTTGAGCAGGAACAAGGATGTGAACAGGCACGTCGAGCACAAGGATAGACACGACCCCCCACCGTGCAGAGGCGACAAGGATGTGAACAGGCACGTGTGTCACACCGAAGCACAATAGACACGATCTCCTCGCGTACGCACGTACAACATGTGAACAGGAACAGGGATGTGAACAGGCAGAATGACAGACAACCAGCGCACCTCTTCCACGGACCAGTCCCCCTTTTTGAGGTTCGGGTCCAGGTGGTGCAGGTACCTCTCCCGGATCTGCTTGCCGACGCGCGTCATCTTGCCGTTCTCTGCCTTGAGCTGGCTCGCGATAACGCTCCACTTCTTGCCGTGATGCTCCACCAGCTGGTGGAAGGCGGGGGTTTAGCGTTCCGGCGGGCAGGTCCGAGGGTGGGGATGGGTAGGGACAAATTGATGGGTTGGGTTATTGAGGACAAACTTGGTCGGGCCAGGTGCCACGGAGGGACAAGACGGTTTTCCATGGTGAAGGGTGGCGGGGTGTCCAGTGAGTGAGGGCGAAATGGCTAGGCAGCATCGGGGGTGGATGCGGACACGACTAGACGGATATTTGATAGATGGATCATTGCCATCAAACTATCGCCGGGTGACGATTGCGTATGCATAAGAGAGAAAAATCTCGAGAAAGCAAACAATTCAAAACTTTAAGTGGTGATGCCTCCTGAGGAAATGCCAAGGGGAGCAAGATTATTCCGGACCTAATCAAGACACATACAGCCGCCCCCCCCCTCTTTTGGGGGGGCCATACTTCGTGCCCATCCTTGCCTTTCTTGCGGGCTTCACGAGCGTGCAGTTAACGCAACATCAAGGCTATTTCGTCACACTGGGGGATCCCTGACCGAAAGATTCAGCGCTTAACTGCAGAGAAAGCAAAAGGTATTTTTTTCCCCTGATCGGAGCTCGTCTCCCGTGGAGAAACGACAATACCCCCAATTCCCCAGTGGTGCATGTTTGCGCCTACCTAGGGTAGAGGGTTGCGACAAGTCAGTTGGAACGTGCCAGCTGTCACACCTTCAAGAGCTGCGGGCAACACCCTCAACAGAAACAATATCACCACGCACGGCCAACCGCACACCACAACTGCAACAAACACAACAACGGCGTGCCTGGATTATTCTCTCGTCCTCTTCCTGCTTCCACGAACCCTTGCCCTTCGTCAGTTCCGGGTTGATGACGTGGTTCCAGTGGAGCATGCACTGGAGATCTGTCTTCGGTGGAATCTACCGAAATCAGCACAGAGTCACAAGCACCGCAGCGCGAAAACACGGTCGGGAACGAAGTTAGCAAGCGGGGACAGCGGTGCGGAGGAGCAAGGTTGACGTCTACCAATGGCGAGCGGCACTGCATGGATCTGATAATACTGTATCCTGCATGAGCTTGAGCGGCTTCGTCGACACCCGTCCGCCCGCAAGTTTGTCTGAGCCTCCTCATCCCAGGTGCTACCGGTCGGCCTCCTCTTTCGTGTTTGAGTCCTTGCTGCGACCGAGATAGCTGCGCGCTCTCCAAGCCTATTGACCGAACGAGACTTTAACAGGGCTTGCCACAACCTGTTACGTTGATTTCTGCCACCGCCGGCGGGTCTCTTTCTCTCTCCCCCTAATCGTCCTCATCGCCCAATGCATACGATCCATGGTGTTTTTCTTCCTCGGCCTGCACACACCTTCCTGGCGATGTTCGTCCAATCCTTCGCTCCAGAGGTGCCGACAACCAGCCGTCTCTCCTCCACCAGTTGCCGGAGCCGGAGGCTCTGCTCCTGCGTCCACCGTTGGTACACCACGGGAGGCATTGCCGCGGGCGCGGGCACGGGCGCAGGGGTCGGAGCCGGAGCCGGCGTCGTAGTCGATCCTTGCTGCTGGTGCTGTTGGTGCTGTTGTTGCTGCTGCTGGTGCTGTTGGTGCCGTTGTTGCTGCTGCTGCTCCTGCTCCTGCTCCTGCTCCTGGCGCTGCTGCTGCCGCTCGTGCTGCTGCTGTTGTTGCTGCAGCTGCCGCGGAAGTGGCGCTTTGCCGATCCCGACCACTTCCCCCGTCCCCGGAACCAGAGAATCTGGCTGCTGCGGCGGCTGCGGCTGCTGCGGCTGCTGCGGCGGCTGCTGCCGCTGCTGCTGCTGCTGCTGCTGCTGCTGCTGCTGCTGCTGCTGCAGAGGCAGAGGCAGTTCCTCGTTGGGCGTGTTCATCGTATCCGCCACCGGCCCGTCGACAACGCCACCGCCGTTGGTAGGGATCTCAACGACGACGTCGGCGCCGCTCCCCGCCGCTTCGAGCGGGGACCCCACCAAGCCAGCCACTATCGTTCGCGCGGGCGTGGCTAGACTCTGGGAGCCCGTGGCAGGTCGAACAAAATGAATTCGAGGGGGTGTGGGGTTAGCAGGGGCTGGGGGGGACACAGCGTGATTCTTGCTCCTAGCTCAGCGATGACACTGAGGAAACTTTCGCTGGGTCAGCCCGTTAACTTGGTCGATGCAAACACATACAAACACAAAACAAACACACACCGCCTCGCGAGACCCCAGACCATGGCCTCTACAAGCGCTCTCCGTTTCTAGCCGCATTGAAAGACTAACGTCATTTCATTGGTCAAGTCAGCTAGCTCGGTCCATGCCAGCAATAGAAACGTAGCACACAAGACGAGAGAAACCATCTTGGAAGCGGAAAAAACGTCACCTCCCACTCCAAAACCGGGTCTCTACCTTCGAGGAACCTTGAGTATTTTCGAGTTGACATCCGCTCAAGTCTAACCTCATTCCATGGGTCTACGTATGCCCATACACGGATGGCGCACAAACGCTTGCGCGCAAGAAACTGCGAAAAAAGAAGGGATTACTAGATCGGGGGACAGGGGGCGCGGTGAATACGNGGGGGGGGGGGGGGGGGTGGACGGAGAGAGGGGTGTCCGTAAACGAGATTGGAAAATCGTGTCGTGCACATGCATGTCATGTATGACTTCGGGCGAAAGCTTGGAGAGGGTTTGCGGGCCCTTCCTACGAGGATTGTTCGCGTACGACGCGTTTCTTATACGCACACTTGCGTCCGAAAGCCACACGTCGAACGGCGCGTTGTCGCGATGCACGGCAGTAGCGGTCGGACAAAACCCTGGACTCCAACGTCTGACGAAGTGCCGTTTTTCTCGTGCACCACAACAGCAAATCAGACCAAAGGGAGAAGCAAACCTGCAAGAAAGGCTCAAGAACACTCGTCAGGGGATCTTTCTAGGTGACCCACGTCTCCAAAACACAATCCGGGGGGGTTTTCGTTCGGATGAATATCTGCGAGCCCCCCGCCAGCTTGACCCCGATAGAATGAGTAAGCACCCAAATATGCCCCGCCTTGCTCACCGTGATATCTCCGGCTGCTGAGCCCAACACATCCCCACCGGCGGCGGCAACAGCTGTTAGGTGCTCTTGCTGCTGCTGCTGCTGCTCATGTTGTTGCTGCTGTTGCTGCTGCTCATGTTGCTGCTGCTGAAACTCCGGCGCGTGCTGGTTGTGTTCGTCTTGTCGAGAAAGATGGGCAAGGTACTGCTGCTGTTGTTGCTGCTCTTGAGGATCAGGCTGCTGCTCGTTCTGCTGATTTTGAAGCTGATTTGCCAGTTGCTGCTGTTCTTGCAACACCGACTGCGCCTGCGGGTGTGGAAGTTGTTGTTGCTGCTGCTGCTCCTGCTGCTGCTGCTGCTGCTCCGGCTGCTGCTCTTGAAGCACAAATTGCGGCTGCTGCTGTTGATGCTGCTGCTCCAGTTCGGCCGGCAAGGCAGACTGTGGCGGCACCTGCTGCCGCTGTTGCTCTGGCAAAAAAGGCTCCAGCTGCAGCGCTTGAGGCTGTTGGTACCCTTCCTGCTGCTGCATGCCCGTGGGCTCTAGCCGAGTCTCCTGCTGCTGCTGCTGCTCCTCATGCGGAACCTCCACGCCCAGAGAATGATCCGCCGCTGCTTCTCTCATAACCGCCTCCGCCAGCTCCTCGTCGGCCTGCTTCTGCTCGGCGGCCGACTGCTCCGCGGCCGCCTTCATCAACCCGAGGTGATCGTCTTCCTCCATCCCGTGCCCGCCCAG